GGGCGATGGAGGATGAACAAAGGATGGCGTGGAAGCTCGCAGTGATGAGGGAGAAGAAGAGAAGAGTGGAGGCGGCGAATGCGGCAATGCAGGAACTGGAGGAGGTGAGGGCTGCCGTAACAACACAATTGATTCCGCAAGTGGATCTCCAACGTAAAGTGGAGATCATCGCCCAGAGCGTTGAGCGGTTAGCTAAAGTGCAAGAAAGGCACTTTGAGTTTAGTCGCAGCCAGGAGATATCTGTACGCTCGATGCGAACTGGCTTACGGGATTTTGCTCGCGAACTAGTAGGCGCTGTGGGATCCGAGGTGAGTCATCGCCTCGAGAAGACTGAGCGTTTTTGTGTCGGCGCCATCGAAGGCGTCAAGGTGGCCGCTCCCAAGGAGGAGGAGGCCCGTCCTCGCAGGGAGCCAGTCAAAGTCAAATTCCCTGATTCCTACAGCGGGAAAAGGGAAGAGAACTTTGACAATTGGGAGGCCAATGTTAAGACCTATGTGCATTTGCAACAGGTTTCCCCGGATCAGCAGGTCCTAATTGCGATCCATGCACTTAGAGACGAGGCCGCCAGTTTCGCGAGATCCCTTGTTCGTGCTGCCAACTGTAGTGACGATCCAGTTGCGTACTCTTCATTTACGTCCCTCACCGCGAGCGATTTGCTGATGTCGCTCGCAGTGTAAAGGCCTCAGACAAGCTCCAAACCATCCATTCTCGTAAATGGAAGAGTTGGTGGCCGTCCCTGACCATGGGGTCACAGAGGGCCAATTGGTCAACTTCTTTTACCGGGCTATGCCCGAAGCCTTTCGAGGGCAGTTCTTCGCGAAGAGCGAAGACCCTGCCACCACTTACGATTCCCTTAGTCGAGAGGTGGTGGCTTTTGAAGCGAAGTCAGTGTCCCTGTCCACCTTTTGGCATAAGGATTTGGACAAGGGAAAGCAATGGAAAGGCCGCACTATCTCAGGGCAGGTAAAGACCAAGGATAGCCTTGTCCTKACTTTAGATGAGGGTAGTGTGGATGAGATTCCCTACGATCAGATTGAGTGGGGGCTAGAGGAGGCGGACAACGGTGTGGGCCAGGGGAGATCCTACGCTGCTGTCGCGGCTGGAGGGAGGCCGCAAAGAGGAAGAGGCCAGGGCCAAGGGGGCTGGGCCTCATGGAAACCGATTCCAGGGCGATCAGGGGGTTGGCGGCAAAGGAGGAAACCGCCAAGTGGGAGGCAGGGGTCAAGGTCCCTCGCAAAACCGTCCTAGGAATAGGTCTCCCTATAGAGTAGGAGGATGGCACCCAGGGCTACCTCAGGGTAGGCCTTGGGAATCTTTGGGTCTGGACCAAGACTTATGGACAAAACGATTGGACCGGGGCCAGTGCATTTTCTCCGGTGACCCGGGCCATATCATCAAATATTGTCCCAAGTATAGAGAGACCCGAACGGCTGCCCCAGGGCCAAAAGGCAGCCGCCGGTAGGGGTAGCAACTGCCCCTACCACTAGGCCATGTGGGGAACATAGCGCTAGCCGGCAGAAGACTCCCACACCACATGTGCCTATGGCAGAGGTTGCAGGCCGGTGCCTAGACAGCTGTCCCGAAACTGCTTGCGTTAGAGTTCCGCTAGACACCTCCCTCACAGGCATGGCCGAAGAATTTAAGGAGAGGATGCCCGCCTGGGCCAAGATGAAGAAGGAGAATAAAGGGCAGCTTATATTGCTAGATACAGAGATTTTTAGAAGTAGAGTAGGGGCCCTAGTAGACTCAGGGGCCACTCGCAGCTATATTAGTAAGAAAGCGCTGCAGAAGTTGAAGCTGGGACTTAAAGTCCAGAAATTGACAGACCCCATAGTAAGTATCCTCGCGGACAATCGTACTATACGTAGAGGAGTATGTAGAGGGAGTCCAGGCATATTTCCGCCTAGAGAAGGATGGGAAAGTGGAGAAGGTCCTCCACTCCCTGACTCTCCTCGTAGAAGACAGCCTCCCATTTGATATTGTCTTGGGAATGGATTGGGGAGAGGCAGCCGGGGCGACGCTCCATCTGCTGGAGCACGAGTGTAGGCTTCTTAGTTCCTCAGGCGAGGCTCAGACTGCCCGCCTGTTCCATGTGTCAGGGGTAGAGAATTCCCTGGCGCATTGCTGCCTGAGTGCCCCCGCGTTCGCCAGATTAGTGAAGAAGGAGAAATTGAATGAGCAGGTCTTTGTTGCCTATGTGAGGCCAGTGACTGGGCCTACGGAAGAAAAACCGATGGACCCTGCGATTGCCAAGCTGCTGGGAGAGTTCAAGGACCTAACCGAGCCGCCAATAGGAGTGGTACCGCGGCCCATCCAGCACCGTATTGAGATAGAGACTGGCAGTAGGACTCCTAAGGGCGCTGTATATAGGATGTCCCCACGGGAGTTGGAGGAGCTTCGCAAGCAGTTAGACGAGCTCCTCGAGAAGGGTTGGATTAGGCCCAATTCGTCCCCTTTCGGAGCGCCTGTTCTCTTTGTTTCTAAGAAAGAGGGAGAGCTGAGAATGTGCATAGACTAYAGGGGTCTGAATGCTATTACAGTGAAGAATGCTGAGCCACTGCCAAGGATAGACGATCTCTTAGATCGAGTGCAGGGGGCCAAATATTTTTCTAAGGTAGATTTAAAGTCCGGATATCATCAAATAGAGGTACATCCTGATGATCAGTATAAGACAGCTTTCCGGACTAGGTACGGGCATTATGAGTTTATAGTGATGCCCTTTGGACTAACCAACGCGCCAGCTACGTTCCAGTGCTGTATGAATGATTTGTTTAGGCCATGGTTAGACAGATTTGTCGTAGTTTATCTAGATGACATTCTCGTGTTTAGTAGGACCCTCGAAGAGCACCAGGGTCATCTCAGGCAGGTCTTGGAGAAGCTGAGGGAAACTAACTTCAAGATCAATGCAAAGAAGTGCGATTGGGCGAAGACCCAAGTTTTGTATTTAGGCCACGTCTTAGACGGAGATGGCGTTAAGCCAGAGGATAGCAAGATCGCAGCGATTAGAGATTGGCCCACGCCACGTACGCTGACAGAGTTGCGCTCGTTCCTGGGCTTAGCTAATTACTACAGGAAGTTCGTGAAGAACTTCTCCACCATCGCTGCGCCCCTTCACAGATTGTTGAGGAAGGAGATCATCTGGAAGTGGGATAAGGAGTGCACGTCTGCCATGAAGAAGTTAAAGCAGGCATTAATAGAGTATCCAGTCCTTAAAGTCGCCGATCTGTCCTTGCCTTTTGTCGTTACTACGGATGCTAGCCAGTACGGCATAGGCGCAGTGTTACGACAAGACGATGGCAATGGCTATAGACCCGTGGAGTTCATGTCCGCCAGGATGCCTTCAGAGAAGGTCGCGACATCTACCTACGAGAGGGAACTCTACGCTCTCAAGCAAGCGCTAGACCACTGGAAGCACTACTTGCTTGGGAGGCACTTCAAAGTCTATTCTGACCATGAAACRTTACGATGGTTAAAGACGCATGCCAAGATGACACCTAAGCTTACTAGGTGGGCCGCAGAGATAGATCAGTACGACTTTGAGCTCAAGCCTGTCAAAGGGAGTACAACGTAGTTGCGGATGCTCTGAGTAGAAGAGCTGATTATTTTGGGGCAAGAGTACATTACCTCGATATAGGAAAGGATCTGCAACAGCAGGTTAGAGAAGCCTACGCGCATGACCCTATCTATGGTGAGCTCCTTAAGAAAGTCAAGGAGGCCCCAGAGACCGAGCCGAACTACCGCACTACTGAAGGGTTACTCTTCGAGAAGACTAATGTCTTTGACCGGCTGTGCATCCCCAATAGCGAAGAGATCCGTAGTCTGATTCTGGGGGAATGTCACGACACAGAGGGTCATTTCGGATGGCAAAAGACTTTGGCCAATCTGATGCGCGCGTATACCTGGCCAGGGATGAAGAATGACTGCGTAGAGTATGTTCGCAGTTGTAAGGTCTGCCAGCGTAACAAGAGTTCTACGCGAGCCCCGCTAGGTCTTCTCCGACCCTTGCCCATTCCGGATCAGCCGGGAGACTCAGTGTCRATAGATTTCATGGACACTCAAGTAAGGAGCAGGCATGGCAAGAGCCAAGTCATGGTCATAGTTGACCGCTTTAGCAAGTATGCAGTTTTTGTTCCTTTGCCTTCTGAGGCGCGTACTGATTTAGTCATACAGAGGTCCTTTGACTGTTGGGTTAGTGAGAATGGAATTCCGCTGTCTATAGTTAGCGATAGAGATAGTCGCTT